AGAATTTCTTCGTCAGTCTACACGACGCAGTGCTTGTCGCTCTTGCTGAGCTACATTCGGATGATGAGATGGATGGTGGTGGTGGTGGTGGTGGCGGCACGGAGGATGGAAGGAGAGGAATGGCAGTGCTTCGACGTCGTCGCACCATTGAAGAGGTGCGCAATATCCTTGAGAGTGATCCCGATGCCACTACCGATTTGTCGGTGCTGGGAGAGGAGCGTGCCGTCGCCTTCTAGTGCTCTCTCCTCCCCTCTAGTCCTTGTGTCACCTGTACACTCTCCCTCCTGCCTTTGCTCGTGATTTTCTAAAGTCTTTTGGGATTATCTGCATTATGCGGGCACCAGATTGTGTTTCAATAAAAACGGTGATTGCACACATTGGTTGTTATTTTTATTTTTTGTTCACATGGGGTTGGTTGTTGTTGCGGTGTCCTTCCACTCCTCTGTCTGCGCTCTGTGCGTTATTTTTCACAGCACTCCCCTCTAGTCGAATTGTTTGTTGAGGTTTTGTGTGTGGCTGTTTGAGGTGAGGTGGTGACTGCATTGCTTTCAAGTCATGCATTCATTCCTCAGTATTGTTTGGTTCTGTCTCTCTCTCACCCTCTTTGCCTTCATTCCACAGGAGTCAGTTTTGGTGAATATTTTGTGTTTTCTGAGTCTCGATACAGGCGGCCGAACTTGCATGGAGGTCGCACTTTGTTGTGATGGTGAATGTGGGCATCCCACTCTGGCATTGTTGGGTGGGTTTGAGGACTTTGCACTGCTTCTGTGGTGGTGAGGTTGAGAGTGTGATGGAGTGATGGACCAGATGGATTCGGGGTGAGTGAGTGAGTGAGTGAGTGGGTGAGTGGTGTTGTGATATTGGGCCTTTTTGACGTTTTCGTAGTCTTGATCTCCCCACATCCTCCCCTTGCCCCTTACCCTCCTTCTCCTCCTTCTGCTTTTGATCCTGTTTGCTTATAGTGTATTTCAATGTTAATTACAAATGCATTTGTCAGTGCTCAGCTCCTTTGATACCTCGAGGCCTGACTGTTTGTGAGAGACGGAAGTAGCAGTTGAATGAGCATTGATGGGAGCAGAAGTGATTGGCTGTCGGTGTATTATTGTAAGGGTCGGTTAATGTTGCAGGTAGAGGGGGTTGTGTCATTGTGCTTCTTCTGGGGAGTCCTGTCTCGAGGTCATAGCAGCAGCACGAGTCCATTCTGGAGGTGAGAAGCACCTTATCCTGCCTGGTATTACATTTTTCTCTTCTTTTTGGAAACCTAGGAGCATTTCACTGTTATTTCTTGAAACAATTATTGCAGATTTCTGGACGTATCGTGTTGTGAAAACTTTTTCTGGACCTGCAAGTGACTTAAGCATAGTATAGGCTGTATTTAAGTTGTAAAAGTACCCTTAAATCGAATGTGCATGGTTGAAGTTTACATTGTTTGTAGGTTGAACAAGAAGCCATTCTGTTCGCTATGTTAGATATGAGACAGAGTGATAGTTTAAGGATTCGCCTTATGGATAGCTTTGGCGCCGACTTTCTTTCTTCCTTACCAATTACTTATCTCCTGCTTTCTTGCAGTGATGTTTCTGAATGTAATATACCCGCAATTCTATGATGCCAAGGTTGTTGGGTTTAGGACCCGTCATTACTGACTTGTTTTCCTGATTTTTAAGAAGTTTTCACCTACTTTTGCGCTAATCAGAGTAGCCTTCGATGCTTCGATTTGGATCCGGAAGGTGCCAAACACCATATCCTTCCATAAATTCGTATACATGGAGGCGTTGGTGTCGAATTCTCGCGAAAATGCATTTTGCTAATTTCGGTGCCCCCATACCGATACAGTGATCACCGGTAAGCACTATCAGGAGCAACTCGAAAGATGGTGTTATGTGCTGCCATTCACTCCCATCCTGCCACAATCGTTGCAGTAATCTGTTTGCAGATCGCTTTTGCAGTGTGGAGCAGAAGACCATGACAGGTGTGGCAAAAGTGGAGGGTGAGGTTGCATTTCTTAAATGCTGATGCAGCTTATTGATGAATGGAAGAGAAACTAACCGGTTTGGCTTCCACACTTTGATGTGGCAGTGTGGGCTGCCCCAAGAGTGAAGCGTGTGTTTCTGAATGCTCCACGACCGAAATGCACGTTCTATGCAGGGCAACCTGCCACGACACGCTGCCAATAGCGAAGATGATGAGGAACTTCTGCAGCACTAAAACTTGACCCACGGTTCAGCGCACACATCAATGAAATGAGGGGGGAAGGGTAGAGAGAGGCGTATTGTTTAGAGGGAGTGACAGACAATTCTGTTTGGACACGCACACGCACAACCTCCAGCACTTCAAGCATGTCCAGTGTCTATGCAACGTGCTGAACCGACGATTAAAAGGTTTCCAACCATGTAATGACTTTGCACTTGAAGTGATACATCCTGCAATTTTATGCCTTCCTGTGATTGTGTGTTTGTAACATACAGTTTTTGTTTGACTGCCGGTTTCTGTTACGGTCAGTTGGGTGGCCAACTTCCTTCCAACGAAGAGCACTTCCCTCTTGGCCATATCAGTAGTTTAAATTTTTCTTTCCTCGCCAAATGTATGCAGTCCGCTCGGCTGCTGTTGTAATAATCGTGGTTTTTTGAGTGTGTTCTGAAGGCGACAGGTAGAGACATAGCGTAAATCCTTTACTTTAGAAGCACTTGAAGTCCTCAAGCATGAAATGCGATCTAACCAAAACCTCCTTCAAATTAGCTGCCATTCTTCTGCTTTCCTATGCCACTTAAAATACCTTTCTACAATGAAGCGTCTTGCGATCTTCTTTCCTCCAAGGTGGAGGAGTAGAAAGAAAGAACTGAGACCTCCATTGTCTTAAAATAAACCTTAAGATATTGCAATTATAGCATATAAAATTGAGCATTTTAAGTCATTGCTAGAAGAGACCAACTGTTTTTACTGAATTATGCAGCTAATGAACCCATGCCTGTATTTTGACAAGGTTTGTTTGAAAAGTTTTGTGCGCTGAATGTCTGCAAAGTAATGATAAAAAGCGAATTTAACAACCAGCAGGCGTGTTTGTAAAGCAAAAATGGAAAACTTCAGATGCATATGACTTGACCTTTGACCAAAAGTGGATCCATTAGGCTTTTTTGACAGGCTTAAAAATGGTAGTCTCCAGAAGGGATTTACAAAGTAAACGCTTTGTGAAAAGGAAACACGCATAAATTTACTTGCTTAAAACATACTCATCGAAGACACAAAATTGTGTTCTTTTTTGTAGATCGGATAAGTTGGTGATTTCTTAACTATTAGAGAGTAAATTTCAGAGTTTTGGTACGCAAACGTATTCTGCGAAATAAAATATAATAGGTAGAAATACCTGGCCAAAAGTAGAAGGATTGTGCACCGATTATCTGACTACTAAGTGCTTGCGGATTTGGGTGTTGCACTTCGGGGATCTTCATTTCAAGCACATACGAACAGATTTTCTGCATTTATATCTGTTTATGTTGCCCCTAGAAAATGGGACGTGGAGCAGTGGTGATGTGATGCATGCAAGTGAAACGGATAGGAGGACAGTATTTCACTTCTGTGTTCTTCACGCGAAGTCATATCGAATCTGGTTGGGTTGTTAGGGTGGTGGTCAAGGTGGGCGAGCCTTGCACAACGGTTTGCATAACTTTTAGCGCAATCACTACACTGATAAAGTGAGAGCTCGTTTAGCCGTAGTTAATGCGAAGTGGGGTGGAGGGAGAGGATGGAGAGAAGTGCAAAGAGGAATGAAAGCCGAAAAGATCTTAAATAACATGCTAACGTAAATGCATAGCACAAGAAGGATTAATGTGAAAAGAAAAACAACAATCTGACTCTAGAAGTAAAGAATTTTATTTGTAAACTCTGTTCTCGTCCTTCAGCAGACCAGACTACAGATTTCAATTCTCAGTCCACAGCGCCATTAAGATTTAACTTCATCGTTTCGGCGCACTACAATTGGGGCTCTTCTCAGCCACAACCTGTCTTTACTTCACCTTAACTATTAATGCATTGCATCACACTACGAAACACTACACTGCCCAGTCGTACCACTTTCAGTTGCTCTCCT